AAGTATAAGCATGAGTAAGAATACAGGGAATAGGTACGAATAAATGGGGACAATAGGACAGGGACGATGGTGCGGTAATGCACGTCCCTTACAGATCTCTTAAGAATGGATATTGCCTCCCTCCCTTCCTTCCTTCTGCTCTCTCCCTTTTTTCTCTCCTTCCTCCATTCTTTTCTCTCTCTCCTTCCTTCCTTCCTTCCTTCCTTCCTTCCCCTTCCCTGTTCTCCTTCCGTCCTTCCTTCTTTTATTTATTTATTTATTTGATTTGTCAATCGCTTACAAAATAATAGGTATAAATATAAACATGAGTAAGAATACAGGAAATAGGTACGAATAAATAGGGACAATAAGGATGGGGAGGGTAGAGACTTATGCACGCCTCTTAGGAATGGGGTGAAGTCAATAGTAGATAGTTTAAGGTTAAAGGATTCGGGGTTTGAGGATGTAACAACAGAGTCAGGTAGTGCATTCCAGGCATTGACCACTCTGTTGCTGAAGTTGTACTCTCTTACACTGACTTTGTATCTGTTGTGTGCTCTTGTATTGTGGCGGTTGAAGCTGAAGTAGTCGTTGAATGGTAGGACGTTGTAGCAGATAATTTTGTGTACTATGCTTAAGTCCAACTGTAGGTGGCGTAGTTCAATGTTGTCCAAGCCCAAAATTTCAAGCCTGATGATATAGGGTATTCTGTTGCGAGCAGAGAACGTAGTACTCTTCTCATGAAATACTTCTGGACTCGCTCAATGGTATTAATGTCCGGTAATAAAGTGCAGATTCCAGACAGATGAGCTGTATTCGAGTATTGGTCTAGCAAAGGTTTTGTATGCCCTAGTTAGCAATTCAATATTTCCAGAGGAGAAGCTGTATAAGATTAGGTTTACAACTCTTAATGCCTTTTTGGCAATGCTGTTGCAATGAGCTCTGGTGCTTAGGTCATTCGATATGAGTACTCCGAGGTCCTTGACAGAGTGAGGATCGTCAACAAGGTCATATCTGCCTAGTTTGTATTTGGTGTACTGATTTTTTTTAAAACCAGTGTGTAGGACAGAGCATTGGTTGGTCGAGATTTGAAGTTGCCAATTGTTTGACCATTCAGACACATAATCAAGGTCGCTTTGAAGGACAGTGGCATTGGTGGTGGTGTTGAAAAAAAACGTTGCTTATCCAAGAAACTTTTTAGATTAGATTAGATTAGATTAGATTAGATTAGATTAGATTAGATTAGATTAAATTAGAAGAACTTTATTGTTATTGTACAAGTACAACGAAACTGTGGATGCACCCCAGCAACTGTTCACAATACAATAAAACCAAAGCACTTAAAAATGAAGATAAGAAAAATAGAGTACCCACGTCTCCATTTGCAATTTGAGAGTACAATATCTACGAATATGCACAAAATATACATCCAACACTGACTGTAACGCTTAGCTGAGTATAATACACAAGAGACGGATTGTACTGTAATATGTTATTATACATCTGAATGGGGTATTGAGATTCTTAATGAGGTAGTGACTTCGTGTTTATTTGCGGTTCGGATGGCCCAGGGAAAGAAACTATTTGTTAGTCTAGTGGTGTGGGATTTTATTGACCTAAAACGCCGTCCAGACGGCAGCAGGTCAAAAAGATAATTGCCAGGGTGTGAGGGGTCTTCTATAATGGCCTTGATTCTGCTTTGGCAGCGGGACCTGGCTAAGTCTTCCAGGGAGGGCAGAGGGCAACCAATGATCTTTTGAGCTGTGTTTATCACCTCTGTACAGTTTTCAGCTCTGACTGGATGGTGGGGAATGGAAGGTGACCCGGAGGACACAGATGAACCTCCAAGGGGCCTCAATGACTTGCTAAAAGAATTCAAATGACCAGCTGACTACAAGGAGTAGGAAAAAATTTGGAAACCCACCACTGGAACAATCAATCCATAGAACAGAAGTTGCCTTCGGAAGTTGTGGGAGCTTCATCACTGGAAACTTTCAAGAGGAGACTGGACTGCCATCTGTCAGAAATGGTGCAGGGTCTCCTGCTTGGGTGGGGGGTTGGACTGGATGACCTACAAGGTCCCTTCCAACTTTGTTAATCTGTTACTCTGTATGCACTCATTTAGACTAGAAGGGGTATGATTGACGCCTCCCAGCACTTGGGGGGCTATCACAGAGAAGAGGGAATTGACTTATTCTCCAAAGCACTTGAGGGTAGGACTTTACCCTCAAACTATCCACTATTGACCTCACCCTTTTCCTAAGAGGTCTGTAGGGGGCGTGCATAAGTGCACCAACGTGCCTGCCTACCATGCCTACCATCCCTGTCCTTATTGTTTCTTTTTTATTCGTATCCATTTCATGTATTCGTAACCATGCTTATACTTATACCTGTTATCTAATACTTGCTTGACAAATAAAATAAATAAATAAATAAAATAAAGAAGTAAAGGGTGGAAGATCATTAAAGGGAGCTTCAACCCAGGAGGAATTTCCTGACAGTGAGAACTGTGAAGCGGTGGAACAGCTTTGCCTCCAGAAATTGTGGGTGCCCCATCGCTGGAGGTTGTCAAAAACAGGCTCTCCTAAGAGGTTTTGAATGTGGGCGCATATAGATTTGGTGTTCTTCAAGCTTAGCAGCTTGAAGAGGTGGGGACTTCAACTCCCAGAATTCCCCAGCCAGCAAGGAAATGATTCAATCAATGAAACAACCCTTACTTAGGTCAGAGAGCAATGAAATTCCAGTGGCAGAATTCTAGTCGGTGCTGCTGAAGGACCAAATCTGGACTGCCTGATGTTTGCAAACTGGAGGAGAAGAAATATTTAACATTGCTAGTTCTTTTTTTTATCACCCCCCTTATTTACGGGTCCCCCTCCACTCAATATATGGCCCATGAAAATTCAGTAAATGTTGGACGTTTTGCTGCCTTTGAAGTGCCAGTTAACTTGGGTTGGCACTTTCCTTGAGAGCAGGAGTTGGTGTTTCTGCACATTTTGTGCCTGGAGAGTACCCCCACCCACACACACAAGCACACCCTTGTTCTCCAAGGTAATAAAGTAATTATTAACTTCCTTGCCCTTTGTTTTAGTCGTTTTCATTTTGTTTTAGCTTGTTTTAGTCGTTGAAGCAAAACGTTGAAGGGCGTGCATAAGGGCACCATCGTGCCTACCGTCCCTGTCCTATTGTCCCCATTTATTCGTACTTGTTTCCTGTATTCTTACCCATGTTTAAACTTATACCAATTATCTTGTAAGCGATGGACAAATCAAATCAAATCAAACTAAATTGACAGTTTGTTTCGAAAGGAGGTCGGAAAGGAAAAAGAAATAAAGGTTGCAGTTCCTTAATCACGTGGTCCTAAGTCTCTAGAAAATGGGTCTCCAACCTTGGCAACTTTAAGACTTGTGGACTTCAACTCCCAGAATTCCTCAGCCAAGCTGGGAGTTGAAGTCCACAAGTCTTAAAGTTGCCAAGGTTGGAGAGCCCTGCCCTAGACCAGTGTTTTTCAAAGTTGGTAAACTGGACTTCCAGTTCCCCAGAGTTTCCCCAGCCAAGGTGGCTGGGAATTGAAGTCCACCTATTTTCAAGCCAGCCTTGAGAAACAATGGATTACTAGAGTAACTCTTCTTTCTTGGCAAGAGTCGTTCACTTTTGCCTCTCTTGGCACAGTGTTTCATATCTATAGAAGATCAAGAGTTGGAAGGGACCTTGGAGGTCTTCTAGTCTAGCCCCTTGCTCAAGCAGGAGACCCTATACTGCTTCAGACAAATGGCTGTCCAGCCTCTTCTTAAAAGCCTCCAGTGATGCAACACCCACCACTTCTGCAGGCAACCCGTTCCATTGATGAACTGTTCTTATTAACTCTTCAATATTGTCCTACTGTCAGTTAATTTCTCCTTAATTCCAGGTTGCTTCTCTCTTTGATTAGTTTGCACCCATTGTTCCTTGTCTTGCTTTCTAGTGTTTTGGTAAATAGGATGTGGCAACCCCTCAAATATTGGAAGACTGCTATCATGTCACCCCTTTCACAAGACTGGACATACCCAATTCCAGCAACCATTCTTGGTGTGTTTTAGCTTCCAGCCCCCTAATCATCTTTGTTGCTCTTCTCTGCACTCTTTCTAGAGTCTCAACATCATTTTTTATATCGTGGCGACCAGAACTAGATGTAGCATTCCTAGGGTAGTTTTACTGAGGCCTTATAATTATCATGCAGTATAATTATATATTATCTTATGTAATATATAATTATATTGCAAGGCCTTATAATTATATTATCTGCATTTTTGAACTGCACCCACACATTTTACGGAATGCCTCCTCCATGTTGAGCTGCACCTGTTTAATAGCCACAACTTTCAATAGTCACAGCCCAAAAACCTGTTCAAGAATCCCGCTGCAATGCTGAGACACTGCACGGAATGCCAAATAATAATAATAGTAGTTTGGATTTGAGTATAGTAACAACTACTGGGAACATCAGATTGAGAAGGTTCTGGAAAATGAAAAAGTCAAGATCTTGTGGGACTTTAGAATTCAGACGGACAGGCATTTGGCTCACAACACACCTGACATAGCAATAGTTGAAAAGAAAAAGGGTTGGTTCATTGACATTGTAATTCTTGATGATGCACGAATTGTAGACATGCAGCAAGAAAAAAATCACAAAGTATCGGGACTTACAAATTGAAGTTGAGCGACTTTGGAAAAAGAAATTGTGTGTTTTCCCAATTGTAATTGGAGCCCTTGGAGCAATACCTAAAGGGCTGCCTTGCTATTTGGAAATTCTGAATTTATCAGACGTGAATACCCTGATTCTACAAAAAACCACCCTGACTTGGAACAGTTTATATCCTCTGACACTACCTGAACAGTTCCTAGGTCCTTGCTTAGGACTCGAGCTGTTGAGCTACCAACCAGCCCCAAAGGCTGTAAATCACACTAAAGATTAACCACCACCAATAATAATAATAACAATAATAATAACAACAATGATGCAAAATTTCTGCTGCTGCTTTTATTGCTGTTCCATCACTGGTGAGTGTTAGTTATTAGCAAGCGTGGATTCAATGAAGGGCAGAAGCTCCGTAACCCGGGCATAAACTCCCGGGCTGGAGGGAGAGCAGGTGCCGCTGCCCCAGGAGACGATCCCCACCAGATTCCAGGCCCCGTTCTTCTGACAAACCAGCGGACCGCCAGAATCCCCCTGCAGGAGAAACCAGAGAAGAAGGTCAGTGGCTGCTTGAACGTTGGGTTGGATGGGACTTCGGAGGAGATCACAAGGGGCAGATCTTCAAGGATGGAGACGGTGGCCTTGAGCAGGCCTTTGCTTCTCAAAACCAAAGCAGAATGACCAGGGGAAGCCAACTCTGGGGACTAACAAGAAGCAGAAGAGACCTAGAAACCTTTATTATACAAGTTCATTGATTCTCTGAAGATGGTGAGAACGTAATAACGACTTAATAATAACAGAGTTGGAAGGGATTTTTGTAGGTCATCTAGTCCAACCCCCCACCCAAGCAGGAGACCCTACACCATTTCTGACAGATGGCAGTCCAGTCTCTTCTTGAAAGCTTCCAGTGATGAAGTTCCCACAACTTCTGAAAGCAACTTCCGTTTCATGGGTTGATTGCTCTCCCTGTCAGGAAATGTCTCCTTATTTCCAGGTTGAATTTCTCCTTGTTCAGTTTCCATCCATTATTCCTTGTCTGGCCTTCAGGTGCTTTGGAGAATAGCTTAACCTCTTCCTCCTCTCTGGGGCAGCCCCTCAAATATTGGAGCACTGCTATCATGTCTCCCCTGGTCCTTCTCTTCACCAGACTAGCCATGCCCAGTTCCTGTAACTGTTATTCATGTGTTTTAGCCTCCAGTCCCCTAATCATCCTGGTTGCTCTTCTCTGCACTTTTTCTAGAGTCTCAACAACTTTTTTATAATGTGGTGACCAACACTGGATTCAGTACTCTAGATGTGTCTTACTAAGGCTTTATAGAGTGGTATTAGTACTTCCCTTAATCTTAATTGTATCCGTCTGTTAATGCAATTTAGGATTGCATTGGCTTTTTTGGCTGCCGCTGCACACTGCTGGCTCTTATTTAATTGGTTGTCCACTAAGACACCAAGATCCCTCTCACAGTTACTGCTATTAAGCCTGGTTTCTCCCAATTTACATGTGTACTTTTGGTTTTTCTTGCCTAAGTGCAAGACTTTACTTTTCTCTGCACTGAATTTCATTTTGTTAGACAGGCCGCGGCGTTCAAGTCTGCCAAGATCCACCTGGATCTTGAGCCTATCTCCCCGCAAGGTCACAACGTTTCTCTAGAAGTTCACCATCTGGGAGACATGAAGGTTGAAAGACAGAACTAAGGAAATGAGAAGAATCTATGATGGTTTTGTAACTTAAGACCTGTTCCAGAGGATGGAGAGCAGGAATTCTGGGAAGATACACAACAGCCCCTAGAAATTACAGACTAGGACAACCAGGAAAAAGCCATACCATGCAAGAAGATGCTCCTGCAGCCCCAGCACACACCATAACATCAACGATGCGGTTGCCCCAGAATTTCTTGCACTCCTGATTGGTCAGCAGAGGAAGAGCCACCTGTTGCAATTTGTTGGGCGAGACCTTGTCTGAAATAGATCAAACACACAAAAGATGAGACAAGACCCTCTCGTGTTTATGTCATCTCTGACCCTTGATTCAGGGATAAACCCATGCAGACTTCTCAGCTTCAAAACCCTTGAAATAAGAGCTTCTTGTGTTCCAATCTTGAGGGACTTCGTAGCAGCATGGGTTCTGGCGTGAAACGGAGCTTGCCCACTTCTAGTTTTTGTCCGTCAGTGGGGAAAAAAATCAAGTTTTGGAAGTTGCATAGAAACAGTGGCATTTACTTTTTTTAAAAAAAAGACTGAAGTTGGAGGTTGGGCCTTTAAAAAGATTGCTTTGGAGAAATCTATATATATAAAAGTGAAATACCATTCACACATCATCACAAAATCTCCAGAACCGTAAAGCCTACAAACTTGGAATTTGACACATATGTTCCTCTTGGCTTCTAGGGGCTCACTTAGAAAGGATTTTTCGAAATGACCATCAGAGCATTTTGTGTATTATTATTAACACGCTCTGATGCTAAGGAGTTCTACTCTCCCCACAACCATCTGAAAATAAATCTGTTCCAAATGCAAAACACAAGCAGAGGAGAGAAGTTTCAGTTCCAGTTTTAGTTTCAGAGCACCAAGCAGCTTCAGTACAGAACAGTTGAGCTAAGCCACGCCCAGGCTCCTTGCTGTCTCTTTGCTCACACAGCAAATACTGTTTCACTTTCCAAGCAGCCCTCAACTCTGACAGGACGCTAGCCAGATGAATACTGATGGATGCTGGTAGGCAGAGGCAGAATTATGTTTTCCTTATTTTCCTTCCCAAAACCTAAGCCCGATCACATAGTTTCATAGCGAAGCATGGGTATTGAGCTAGTTAAATAATAAACAAAGAATTCAGGGAGAAAAGGCAATTAGTTGTTGGGAGAAGATGTAAATATTAGTGATATTCAGCTTATATTGAAATATTATAGGATTTTCTTCTCTATAGAACAGCAGTCGCCAACCGGTGGGCCGCAGAGAAATCTCACCCCCAAAGCAATTAATTCAGGCTGCGCAGAAACACAAGGCTGCGCTGCCCACATGGCCCACGGGAACCCTCCCCGCCCACTCACTCCTTACCCGGCAAACTTGCCTGCTAAATTGCTATTTTTCCTTTTTCCGACCATCAGGTGTTCTGCTGTGGAGATTTAGATTAGCTAGGAAGCCAGATATGGTTGGATTTCTTGCTTTCTAGCTAGTCTTTAGATCTTCAACTCTACTTTTAAGCACAGCCGAACCTCCCTTAGGACTGAAGGTTCTATTATTCAGTGCAGACTCAGCAAGCAAATTTGAGAGACTGAGCTAGCCGATGGCAGATAGATAGATCACCGAATGATTCTGTGAGTAACTCAATCTGCCTGCCTGCTTTGGCTGATTTTGGATAAAAGTTGCTCTTTTTTTAATAAAAAATTCAATATTTATATAAATGTTTATAATATTTACATACAAGCCATGTCCAGCCAGTCACATGACCACCAAGCCACACCCACAAATTAGGCCACACCCACAGAACCGGTTAGTGGTCCCTGGGATTTAAAATTATGAGTTTGGTGGTCCCTGAGGTCCAAAAGGTTGGCGACCCCTGGTATAGAAAACTGCTGGCTAATTGATTGACTACATGGCATCGGGTTATTGTCCACTGTTAGCAACTACATATAAGTAGGCCTCAACTTACAACCTGCCGTTTAGCAATTATTCAAAATTATAACAAACCTCCCTAAAAGTATATAGGACCTGGTTCCCAAGTTCCAACATCTGCCCCCCCCCCCCAACCCTAACCCTAACCCCTCTCAGTTACATAACCACCATGTCAAGCACTTGGCAACCAAATAGCATTTAGACTTATATACTGCTTCACAGTGCTTTCTAAGTGGTTTACAGAGTCAGCCTCTTGCCCCCCCAACAATCTGGGTCCTCGTTTTACCGACCTTGGAAGGATGGAAGGCTGAGTCAACCTTGAGCCGGTCAGGATCGAACTGCTGGCAGTTGGCAGAGTTTGCCTGCAATACCGCATTCTAACTACTGTGCCACTGTGGCTCTATTTACTGCCATTTTCTGCAAAGCATTTTGTAATGTTTTTGCCAAAACGCAGGAATTGACTTCCTGTCTTCAACAAAACTAGGCTGTAGTAAACAATTGGGTCATTTAACCATTGCGGTGCTCACTTAACGACCGCCGCAAAAGAGTTGTAAAATTGGGTAGGGCATATGGGTGAACCGCTTTATGACTGTTGTAAGTCGGGGACTATGCATCTAGATAGATTTGATCCATAGTGATCTATTCAAAACCTGGTGAATTACAAGAACAATAACAGAAAAAACAGAACAGGATAACAGAGTTGGAAGGGGCTCTGGAGGTCTTCTAGTCCATCCCCCTGTTCAAGTGGGAGAATCTACACCATTTCAGACAAGTGGCTGTCCAGTCTCTTCTTTAAAATCTCCAGTGATGGAGCACCCACAACTTCTGGAGTTAAGATGTTCCACTGATTAATTGTTCTAATTGTCAGGAAATTCCTCCTTAGTTCTAGGTTGCTTCTCTCCTGGATTAGTTTCCACCCATTGCTTCTTATCCTGCCTTCAGGTGCTTTGGAGAATAGCTTGACTCCCTCTCCTTTGGGGGCAGCCCTGATATATTGGAACACTGCTATCCTGTCTCCCCTAGTCCTTTTCATTAGGACTAGGAGTGACATGATAACAGTGTTCCAATGCTTAGGTGGGGGGTTGGACTAGATGACCTACAAGGTCCCTTCCAACTCTGATTATCTGTAATTTAATATACTTGCTGCTCCAAAGAAGAGGAGAACAACCTATTCTCCACAGCAGCTGAAGGCAGGACAAGAAGCAAGGGCTGGAAACTAATCAAGGAGAGAAGCAGCCGAGATAAATAAAAGGACCCAGATTTCTGTTCATCAGAACTTTCCTTTCTGTTTCTTTTACTGCCTGTCCCCAAGAAGGAGAGTCCCCGTTTTACCCGTATGATGCAGGTATCCCCATCCACTGGTGACGCAGGTCATCCCACCAGGGAAAGCATCGGTGGCTTTTGGCAGACACACAGGAGACACGCGAGCCGTCAGCCGGGCCGGGGTGGCCAACTTGAGCAACGTGATGTCATTTTGTATGGTGAACATGTTATACTTGGGGTTTTTGAAGACCTGACAGAGGAAAGAACAGGGTTTAGTTCAAGCCAAGAGAAAGTTGGGATCTGTCTCTGGGAAATGCCTCTTGGGGCAACAATTGCATAATTGGTAACGCCTCTCTGGATTCCCGTGGGTGACACCTCTGCATTGTCTTGATGGTTGGTTGGTTTCATTTTTATTTGATTTCTGTGCCACCCATCTTGCCCAGAGACAATTCTGGGCAGCTTGCAAACATTAAAGCTAGTACAGATTAAAATAATAACAGTAATAGCCAGAGGTGGTTTTCAGCCGGTTCTGACCGGTTCTGGAGATCCAGTAGCAGAAATTTTGAGTAGTTCGGAGAGCCAGCAGATCCCACCTCTGACTGGCCCCGCCAACCCCATCTCTTCTCTGCCTCCCATTGAGTCCCAGCTGATTGTCTGGGTCTTCTTTGGTTGCCCTGCCCAGGAGAACGGAGCTGGAAAGCAGGTTAGTGGGGTGGGGAGCAGTGGTGGTATTCAAATTTGTTTACTACCGGTTCTCTGGGCATGGCTTGGTGAACATGACATGGCTTGGTGGGTGTGGCAGGGGAAGGATACTGCAAAATCCCCCTTCCCTCACCCTCTGCATTGACCTGCTTTCCAGCTCTGTCCTCCTGTGCAGGGCAACCAAAGGAGACCCAGCTGTTCAGCTGGGACTCAACAGGAGGCTGAGAAGAGATGGGGTTGGCGGGGCCAGCAGTCAGAGGTGAGATTTGCTGGTTCTCCGAACTACTCCAAATTTCCGCTACCGGTTCTCCAGAACTGGTCAGAACTGGATGAATCCCACCTCTGATGGGGGAGGGAATGGGGATTTTACAGTATCCTTCCCCCGCCATGCCCACCAAGCCACGCTCACCAAGCCACGCTCACCAAGCCACGCCCAGAGAACCGATAGTAACCAAGTTTGAATACCACCACTGGTAATAGCTACCGTTAAAAGATGGGGACGCGGGGAGCAAGAAGTACATGAGTAGAGGTGGGGTCTTTCCTAATCCAATGGCCCCTTCCAGAAGGCTGCAGCCCCATGGTGGTTGGCAGGGAGAACCGAGCTCGGTCTTCTTCAAAGGTAGTTTTTCAACCTCTCAGCATAGTTTATACAGCTGGCTTCCTCTAATCTCCCATCCAAATACTAACTCAGTCTGAACCTGCTTCGCTTGTTACATCATCCAAAAGTTGGCTAGCTGTGGCCATCACCCTGGGTTGCCTCCTGATTAGTTCAGCTCCTGATGACTTCATGAACACCTTCATGAACAGAAGTGGTGGGCCATTTAGATTCTTCTAGGGTCGTTTTTTCCCCCCCTCCTGGTCTACTCGACAACCTAATTTCTTATGTAGTGATGATGCTCTTTGTTACAACCCATGAAGCCACCTATTCAGGTTGTGCCCCTCAAAAACTAGTTTAGCAACCTTGTTCTGATACTCATTCTGCAAGGCTCTGCAACCTGCAACCTCATTTTTGTCCCGTAGATGCTGCCGTGTCACAGTTGCCCCGCTCACCTTGGCTATCTTGATGACTTGAGAGTCTTCCTCACGAGTACTTTTGTCAAATGCGCCCAGCACCACCAAGTGGCTTGTCCTGGCACGGAAGTGGGAAATTAGGAAAAAGAGTCATTAATTAAGAATCCCCTATGCAGCTGGATAAGATCTCTCTCTCTCCCTCTCCTTGAGAACGGAGCTGGAGACAGTATCCTGCAATCCCAAATAAAGAATGATCGATTGGTAGGAAAACGGAGTGGGGGATTTTCCTGCAGACTTTTTTGGGGGGATTTTCCCAGGGTCTCTGGTCCGCAGGATTTAAAATTATGAGTTTGGTGGTCCCTGAGGTCCAAAAGGTTAGCGTCCCCTGATCTAGGAAACTCTTAAGGGCCTTGTTATCTATGACCTCTACAATGTTGACCCCAAAGCCTGATTCTTCAAATATTTGAACCCCTCTGGCTAGATCTTCCATGAGCCCCTTTCTTACCTGACATTGCAGTGGGCAGCAGTGACCACCCAATTTTCATTGATCAGAGAACCGCCACAGAAATGGAAACCGGTCTTGTCCTGCAGAATGGAGGAGATTGAGTGGACTGTGAGAAAAAGGTAGTGAGATGCTCAGCTTCTCGGCTCACTAGCCCTCTGGGCAGTAGACCAAGGTGGTCAAAGGTTTGTCTGCCCTACTGATCCTCCCCACATTGGCCCCCTGTCCCGATGACTGCAGTCGCCATAGCCCTTAGACTTTTATACCGCTTCGTAGTGCTTTACAGCCGTCTCTAAGCGGTTTACAGAGTCAGCCTCCAACAATCTGATGAGGAGGTAATCAGAAAGATCCTAGAATGAACTGAGATGGACAGATTAACTTTAAAAAGAAAAGAAAAAGAAGACTCAGAATACTATCTGATATGGAATAGGTTCTATGAGTCACTTAAAACAAGGGGTAGAAGTTAGAGGAAGAAAAACGATTAAGGTTCTTATTAAAAAGAGGGAGGATATAGAACTATAATTGCTATAAATATTAAAAATATGAATGAGTTAAATACAAAGAATGGGAACTGTTTTGTATGGGAACTGTAGCATTACTAGAGCTGTTAATTTAGGTGTTATTATGTTATTACTATTGTTATTAGTAAATGAACAATATTTTTACAGTATTAGCTATGTTTCTTTTTTATAAATAATGTATCCGGACAAAATGCTGTATTCAAAAGTTGTTTATGAATAAAGTATAGTAGTAGTAGTAATAGTAATAATAGTAAACAGTCTGGGTCCTCATTTTACCGACCTCAGAAGGATGGAAGGCTGAGTCAACCTTGAGCCTGGTGAGATTCAAACTGCCAAATTGCAGTCAACCAGCAGTCAGCAGAAGTAGCCTGCAGTACTGCACTCTAACCACTACGCTACCGTTCTCTTCTCCATCACTTTAGATCAGGGGTGTCCAACCTTGGCAACTTTAAGACTTGTGGACTTCAACTCCCAGAATTCCTCAGCCAGCAAAGCTGGCTGAGGAATTCTGGGAGTTTAAGTCCACAAGTCTTAAAGTTGCCAAGGTTGAACACCCCTGCTTTAGATCAAAGGTCTTCAAACTTGGCAAGTTTAAGACTTGTGGACTTCAACTGCCAGAATTCCTCAGGTAACAGGACTGGAGGAGGAATTCTGGGAGTTGAAATCCACAAGTCTTAAAGCTGTCAAGTTTGAAGACCCCTGCTTTAGATCAATGACCCTCAACCTTAGCAACTCTAAGATGGGTTGACTTCTACTCCCAGAATTCCCCAACCAGCAAGGCTGGATGGGGAATTCTGGGAGTTGAAGTCCACCCATCTTAAAGTCACCAAGGTTGAGAGATTTTGTTTTAGGTCATGGCATCCGCTGCATCTTAACCCAGCCGGAGTTCTCGCCTGGCACCAAAAGGTACATCATTTTCTGACCCTCTACCCAATGCCACCACCAACCTATTTGGTCTTCCAAATTTCAAGGCAGAGCAAAACAGGTGCTGCATTCTTACCTGCAGGGAGACCTGCCAAGGCCATGAACCGGGCACGGCATCTTCCCCATTGACTATCCGGGCATAGCCACTGATTAAAGGAGTGATGGCAGGGACACCACAACCTGTCAATGAATCAGAACATTAATCCCAAAGAGAGTCTTCGACCTGGACTCAGACCTGGGAGGAGAGTGGTTTTCCTTTGAATCTGTTTGTCAACCCTGAAGCTGACCTGACCGAAGCCATTTGGAGGCTTCGGTGTTGCCACACTGGAGTTGAGGAATAGGGAGCAGGGAACAGAGATAGCTGGGCTTTTGTAGCCAAAACAAAATACTCTCTCCTGGGAACCAAGGACATCCCCACAGGGGGTCAGAGAGAGGAGGAGAGAAGTTACCAGGCAACCGGATGGCAACCTGATTGGACCATGTGACTTTGGGGACTTTGGGGAAAAACTTTTAATTGGGTGAAAACCACAAGAACCCAATCAGAGTCGGTCTTCACCAGAACTGTGCCAATATCAGAAGTGGCATTCTACTGGTTCGGATCGGTTCCATAGAACTGGTTGTTATGATTCTGTGCATTTCGGAGAACCGGCAAATCGTGCCCCTGGCTCGCCCTGACCCTTTCTCCCCTCCCCTCCCCTCCCTTCCCTGCCCAGTCAGTGCTTATCGCTCATGCCCGACATCGCTGACTGCATGTCCCCCCACCTAGTCACTCCTTAAGGTATTTTTCCCCCTCCGGACGATCAGATGCTATGCGCCCACCTCTGCACTCCATTTTTTTTTTTTGCCTTCCTGGGCCTCAGGGAAGGCTTCTGGGAGCAAAAACGCCCCCCCAGGAGGTATTCCTGAGGCTCAGTAGGCAAAAAAATGGGGTTGCTGGAAAAAAAAGAAGGCTTGCCCACCCAGTCACATGGCCATACCCACCTAACCGTGCCCACCCAGCCACATCCACAGAACCAGTTGTTAAAAAAATTTGAATCCCACCCCTGGCCAGTATGATATAGCTAATAAAACTATTCTTTGAGGAATTCACCTGCTTTGGAGTTTTGTTTGCTATGGGTGTATTACTTGCAACCCCGACACTGTTATTGCGAAGGGTTAGAACCCACCCATTTACTTTACATACTGGAGTCCGGTTGTGTAGTGAACACAAGCACTTGTAAACCAGAACAAATCCAGTCTGGTCTTCCGTATCCAGGAAAGTCGCCAAGTCAGGAGTTTAAAAAAGGCAGACTTTTATAGAAATTTAAGCCAGGCTCTTGTGGCTGGATAATGCCGGTGGCATCTCAATTCAATGGCAATAGCTGAAAAGGACATAGCTAATGGAGGCCCAGTTGCCAACCCCTGGAATTCAGTTGTTTAGTTTTGCAGGGATGCGGTGGCTCAATGGTTAAGATGCTGAGTCTTGGACTGTTATAGGTCTATAGTACAGCAGTTCGAGACCCGGGTGCCACGAAATGGCGTGAGCTCCCATCAAGTGACCCAGCTCCTGCCAACCTAGTAGTTCAAAAGCATGTAAAATGCAAGTAGATGAATAGATACTGCATGCAGGTGTCATGCCCCTGTTGGAATCTGATTCTGAGGGGGAGATTGAGCAGCTGACAGGGAGTGGGAGGGTGGCTCCGGTGGCTGTGGAAGAAACTGGGGAAGGGCACAGTCCGGCTGGGCATTCAGAGGAAGACCCAGGCCCACCCCCTCTTCATCCTAGGGCACGCAGGGAGGAATGGAGAAGGGAGCAATGTGGGTTATGGGGGAGAAAAGGGCCCTGATTCCCTTCATTAGCTGCAGCTGGGAAAACAGGATTTAAAAAAGGCGTTTGCACACAGCACCTTGCTGGAAGCAAAGCGTGAATTATTCCGGTTTGTCAAGTCTTATCTGAGTTCTGGCATCCTCCCAACTGTGTGTGTTTCGTTATCTTTTGAAGTCTGCAATTCCTTATCCTGCCCTGTGTCGTTAATTGCTGCAGCTTGTGGTTTGTGTTGGTTTTTATTTACAATTTATATGTACTTTGGGTTCGGATGGAATTTCTTCCCTTTAAAGACTGTTCTTGGGAGTGATTTTTCTCCAGCCGATGATAACTGGACATTGGGGGCCAAGTTGGCAGTATTAAAGGGACTTTACCTACTTTTGTGACTTTGTTGCTTTTGTGCCACACCCCGGGTCATCACAGCAGGTAGTCCTCAACTTACGACTGAAATTGAGCCCAAAATGTATGTTGTTAAGTGAGTTTTGCCCTATTTTATGATTTTTCCCTTGCCACAGTATTTAAATGAATCACTGCAGATGTTAAATTAGTAACATGGTTGTTAAGTGAATCTGGTTGGTTAGGAGGTCACTAAAAGGGAAATCACATGACCCAAGGACACTGTAACTGTCATAAAGGTGAGTCAGCTTTCCAGCATCCGAATGTAAATCACGTGGCCATGGGTATGCTGCAACAGCCATAAGTGTGAAAAACGGCCATAAGTCCCTTTTTTCAGTGCCGTTGTAACTTTGAACGGCCCCTAAATGAACTGTTGTAAGTCAAGGACTACCTGTCAGACCCTCAGGGACACCTGTAGTTTTGGTTTGAAGGCCATGAATTCGGAGTCCTTTTCAGAGATGCCAAAGGGAGCTTCCAGCCTCCTGCCTCCCCTCGGGGACCCACCTCTCTACCGCCTGGAGAAACCTACGTTGGGGGTCTCCTTCCCAACTACAACGAGCAAGAAGGAGCTTCGGATACTCACCACTGGCGGCACCCAGGAGAGCCAAGCAGGAGAGCACCCAGAGCAGAGCCATCTTTGCTTCTTGGAGGAACTAGGAGGAAGGTAAGAGCCGTGGGTCCTGATATAGGGAGCAGGGGTGGACATGTGGCCTGAGAAGAGCCCCTGTCCAGGCTGGTTCCCCACTATCTTATCGCCTGAAGACCTTGAAGATAAGCTCAGCTCCCGCAGGTCAGGCCAAGTGGGCGGATGGGCAAGGGGCCAGGTGGCATGGCAAGGAGATGGCCGGGGGGGGGGGGGGGGGGGGGGGGGGGGGGGGGGGGGTTGGCTATCGGGGAGGGGGAAGGTTTTTGCTGGAAGCCCTCACCCCTCAAGCTGGCAATCCATTGACCTGTGTTCGATTGGAGGCTCTTCAGAACAGAACAGGTGAGATTAACAGAGTTGGAATGGACCTTGTAGGTCATCTAGTCCAACCCCCCCCCCAGCCCAAGCAGGAGGCCCTACATCATTTCTGACAGGTGGCAATCGAGGCTCTTCTTTTTATTCCCCCCAAAGTTTTTTATTTTTATTTTACATACATATCAATGTGTGAACAATATAACACCTGGGTGTTTTACATTTTATATCCAATAACATAATAATCATGTTAACTATTTTTCACAATCTTACTTCATTCCAACCTTAATACCTATCCTTATATTCCATTTAATCACTTATTCATTTATATATTCAATATTTTATTGTATTGGTTCTTTCATGCTAGTCCTCCTAGTATTCAACGATGCTTAATATCGCCCTCGTTCAGATTCTAGTTTCCTTTCTTTTTCTTACCTCGTCTTATTATTAAGAAATTATATACCATTATTTCCCCCCACTCCAATTCCATCCCAATTCTAACTTTGCCACTACAGTTCCCAAGAATATTCCCTAATATATTTTCTTTTTTAATATTTCATTCATTAGATATATAGACTCTTCTTGAAAGCCTCCAGGGATGAAGCTCCCACAACTTCCGAGGGCAACTTCTGTTCCATGGGTTGATTGTTCTCCCTGTCAGAAAGTTTCTCCTTATTTCCAGGTTGAATCTCTCCTTGATCAGTTTCCATCCACTATTCCTTGTCTGGGCTTCGGGGGCTTTGGAGAATAGCTTGACCCCCTCCGCCTCTCTGGGGCAGCCCCTCATATACTGGAAGATGGAAACTCTGTAGCCCTGCAGGGTAAACCAAGCTTCCAATTACCAAAGACACCTTACCTGGTGCGGCTTTAATTATAAGGTAACAACAGTCACAGAATCTTGCAAGTTGGAATGCCCATCTAGCCCCCTTTCCTTCTCTCTTTGTGAGAACTAGGGAGGGTCTTGTCCGAGATCGACCACGGCGATGCTGTAACGGTCATAAAGTCTGAAAAGTGGTCATAAGTCACTTTTGTCAGTGCCGTTGCAATTTTGAACAGCCAAACGAATGGCTGTACGTCCAAGGATACCTGGGTTCAATTTTCACTGCTTTGGGGTGGAGAAGAGATTACAGCGGCACTGAAAAATGTGACCTATGACCATTTCCCCACAGTTATGACCGTTGCAGCATCTCCTTAATCATGTGATCAAAATTCAGACACCTGGCAATTGGCATGTATTTATGACGGTCACATGTGATCCCCTTTTGTGACCTTCTGGTGAACAAAGTCAATGGGGAAGCCAGGCTCACTTAACAACCACCTGACCAACTTAACAACTACGGAGATTTACTTAACAATGGTGGTGAGAAAGGTCGTAAAACGGGATGAAACTCACTTAACAAATATCTCATTTTAACAAGAGAAATGTTGAGCTCAATGATGGTTGTAAGCAAGCGCTTCCTGTAGGCCAACTAACAGCTGACAGATAACTGACAGATTAATAGAGTTAGAAGGGACCTTGGAGGTCATGTAGTCCAACCCTCCGCCCAAGCAGGAGACCCTATATTTCTGACAGATGTCCAATCTCTTCTTGAAAGCCTCCAGGGATGAAGCTCCCACAACTTCTGAAGGCAACTTCTGTTCCATGGGTTGATTGTTCTCATTGTCAGAAAATTCCTCCTTATTTCCAGGTTGAATCTCTCCTTGTTCAGTTTCCATCCATTATTCCTTGTCTGGCCTTTGGGTGCCCTGGAAAATAGCTTGACCCCTTCCTCCTCTCTGGAGCAGCCCCTCATATATTGGAAGACTGCTCTCCTATCCCCACTGGTCCTTCTCTTCCCTAGACTAGCCAGGCCCAGTTCCTGCAACCGTTCATGGTTTATCGTATGTTTTAGTCTCCAGTCCCCTAATCTTAACAGATTAATAGAGTTGGAAGGGACCATGTAGGTCATCCAGTCCAACCCCTCATCCAAGCAGGAGACTCTACACCATTTCTGACAGATGGCAGCCCAGTCTCCTCTTGAAAGCCTCCAGTGATGAAGCTCCCACAACTTCCGAAGGCAGCTTCTGTTCCATCGGTTGATTATTCTCACTGTCAGAAAATTCCTCCTTATTTCCAGGTTGAATCTCTCCTTCTAGCCATAATTTCATAGACACCTTATTTGGGGGGTGGATTCAGTGTTGATACCTTGGGAATCCTTGCTTAGCTAAAATTTGCTTCTCAGTATACCAATAATTTTGCTTCCTACAAAAACTTGCAAAGGGAGAGAATGAAACCATTCACTTCTTGGGGACAACCACAAGAGTTGGGGGGTGAAGATGTCTCTCTCTTTAAGGAACGATAATCCCTCTATAAAAATGAGTAACTACTTTCTCCGCTTTCATCCATCTGCAGCCCATGGGATTGCAGTTGGTCGAGGCAACAAGGGACAGAGCTCTTTGCTTTCCAACTCCCTTCAGGTTTCATTGCCTCAAATAGCTCGAAATATGCGGTGCAGTAGCATCTTCTTTGAAGCCACTTCCCAATTAGCTGAGTCCCCTGGCGATTTTCAGGCACATTGAGGGTATTTGTCTGAGTTCAGATACTGAGCAGTATCTTGGACTTGGTGGTGGCCTCCAAGATTCATGGCTTGGGCAGCCACCATCATTTCCCAGAGACACAGGCTAGGCTGGGAAGCCAAGCAGACCTCCTGGAACAAGCCAAAGGAAGCCACGTTCGTATTCTTCCCAAGAAAACTGCCCATGACGATCTTGGGAATTGAGTTGACTTCACCTTTTGGGTATCTTGTAGGTTGCTCTCTGGCTATCTTAGACGTGAATGTTCTTAATCCCCAAGAGCAAATTTTGAATTCCCTTGTGGCAGAGGTGGGTATTCAGCCAGTTCTGACCAGTTCTGGAGAACCGGTAGTGGAAATTTTAAGTAGTTTGGAGAACCAGCAAATCCCACCTCTGACTGACCTGCCAACCCCATCCATTCTCTGCCTCCCATTGAGTCCCAGCTGATTGGCTGGCTCTCCTTTGGTTGCCCTGCACAGGAGAAAGGAGCTGGGAAGCAGGTTAGTGGGGTGGGGAGGGAAGGGGGATTTTTGCAGTAATCTTCCCAGGCCACGCCCACCAAGCCACACCATGCTCCCATGCCACGCCCACAGAACCGAGAGTAAAAAAAAATTGAATCCCACCCCTGCCCTGTGGATAACTTTTTAACATTTAGCAAAAAGAAGGTAGTCAGTTCTACACTCCGTAGATCATTTGGGAAACTGGGCTGAATTGCACAGTGTGAGACTTATTTAATTCTCGTCATTAAAGAAAGCCTAAATTTTTAATGTGACCCAATTTGCAGCTAATCCAGTTGCTTCCACCCAGCCAAAATCCTCTCCATGGGGAAGGAAGAGAATGTTGATGTTCCTGCGCATGTAGGTGTGCGTGTGTAAGAGATCAGGAGCCAAGGCTGATGAGAACTTCCCAGGAAAGGAGCTGGAAATGTTGAAACGAGGGTAAGAAAATCCTCTGGGACGGTTAGAAGACAGGCCCAAATAGTCTCACATATTTTTACATAATCCACGAACTCCTTAATAACAGCAAGGGCTCCTCAAGGGGAAAACAAGAGAAAAAATGCTGCTCAGGCCTTGGAAAAATAAGGTTGGCTGAGTTAGCAACTGGGGAAAACTCTGAATGGAAGATCTCCTGCCCTCTCTATCAGCCCCAAGTGAGATTGGTAGTATTCACACAAGAGGACCTTCTGTGGTTAATCTAATCTTGGTTATGGAATCAATTATTTGCTTTGGTTTGTGCAACATACATTGAAGAGAAGGAGGGGAGGGAGGGAGGAAAGGGAAGGAAGAGGAGGAGTGAGTGAGGAAGGGAGGGAGGGAGGAAAGGAAAGGAAGGAAGAGGAGAGGACTTAAGTGAGGAAGGAAGGAGGGAGAGAGGAGGAAGGAAGGCGGGAGGGAGGAAAGGGAAGGAAGAGGAGGAGTGAGTGAGGAAGGGAGGGAGGGAGGAAAGGAAGGAAGAGGAGAGGACTTAAGTGAGGAAGGAAGGAGGGAGAGAGGAGGAAGGAAGGAGGGAGGAAAGGAAAGGAAGGAAGAGGAGAGGACTTGAGTGAGGAAGGAAGGAGGGAGAGAGGAGGAAGGGAGGAAAGGAAAGGAAGGAAGAGGAGAGGACAAGTGAGGAAGGAAGGAGGGAGAGAGGAGGAAGGGACAGAGGGAGGAAAGGAAAGGAAGGAAGAGGGGAGGACTTGAGTGAGGAAGGAAGGAGGGGGAGAGAGGAGGAAGGAGGGAGGGAGGAAAGGAAGGAAGAGGAGAGGAGGAGTGAGGGAGGAAGGGAGGGAAGGAAAGTGCTGCATCATTCCCAAAGTCCAAACATGATGATGACATGATCTACTAGTGGAGATGCTGTTCATTTGTATCCAGAGAGACCTGTGGAAACTTGGAACGGTTTGACCAGGATTCCTGGAAGGGAATGGAGGATTGGCTACCTGGAGACGGTGGCTGCCCTTATCTCCAGCTCTTGGCAGGGAGAACCTCTTGCACAAGAGCAGCAGGTGTTCCCTTTAGCTGTGAACGTTCTGGCAGGAGACAGGTGCGATGTTGGGAGGAGAAGGCCAGGTGACTTCAGAGATGACCCTGTCATTGCAGGAACAGGTGAGGGGATAACAAGCCTCCCTTTCTGGTGCTATCACCAAGCTGGCATCAAGAACCAGCTTTGACTAAGCCAGTGCTGTCAGTGGAATTTCGCAGCTGATCTGGAGGTCATTTCCTCCCATTCCAACCCTGCAGAATTCTCATTTTTTCCATATATTTTCTTTAACAGCACCTATAATTTTTAGATTGCTAGTTTACTTTATTGATTAGCCCATGGGCCATATCAAAGTGCAGAGTTCCAAACACAAATTGTTACTAAAATCTGATAAAAATAATTTGAAATGGAATTGGAATAAAATACAATTTAAAATGAGATTGGAATAAAATACAATCATTTAACATATGGATAAATAAAACATGATAAAATTATGTTTCTACCCCAATCAGTCCCAATCATGTTGATCTCAACCGAACCGTTTTGCTTAACTACTGTGCTGTGTTAAATGTTATTTTCAGTTTCTGGCCACACATAAAGTAAGTGGTTTTGATATGGGAATCCCAGTGGATCATTCATTTGATATATAGTGATATATTTAATATATCACCCTCTTATACAGGGCAAATAGGATGTGAGTCAGGTCTTCTCCCTCTGCCACCTATAATTTTTATTTATTTATACGTCATATTTCTTAACGGCACATCTCCCTCGGAGGCACAAGATAATTTGAGACCAATTAGGGAAACAAGAACAGAATGTCTTAAGGGAGGCGATATCCATATTACCTTAGAGGTAGCAACAGGAATTCACCGCTGGAACAGTTTTGAAATCCTCTGCTCTAGAGACACTCTTTTATTTCAAATATTAAATATTTCAAGGCCAGATTTAATTTTGCTAATGCACTTACTGTTCCTCTATATTTTTAAAGCTACCATCCCCAAACTGGGTACCCACCAGTGGTGGGATTCAAATTTTTTTACTACGGGTTCTGTGGGTGGGGCTTGGTGGGCGTGGCAGGGGAAGGCTACTGCAAAATCCCCCTTCCTTCCCCATCCCACCAACCTGCTTTCCAGCTCCGTTCTCCTGCGCAGGGCAACCAAATCAGCTGGGACTGGATGAGAAGCAGAGAAGAGATGGGGTTGGCGGGGCCAGTCAGAGGTGGCATTTGCTGGTTCTCCAAACTACTCAAAATTTCCACTACCGGTTCTCCAGAACTGGACAGAACCTGCTGAATACCCACCTCTGCATCTCAGGCATGAAAAGCAGTTGGGTGACTTTGGGCCAGTCCCTCTCTCTCTCTCTCTCTCTCTCTC